AGGTCAGAAGACAACTGACAACTTGCAGGAAATGGTTGGGTCTCTCCTTCCATCATGAGGATTGAACTCAAGTCCTCAAACTTGGTGGCAAGTGCCTTTACTAGTTGAGCCACCTCTCTGGCTCATATTCCTTGAGGCAGGACACACTGTGTAGATGGCTAGGCTTGTCGGTCAGCAAGCCCAGAGCTCCTGCCTCTGCATCCCAGCACTGGACTACAGATAGACCACCATGCCCAGCCTTCTCATAGGTGCTGGGCTCAGACTCAGGTCCTCATGCTTACACAGCAAGCACTTTGCTGCCTGGGCTACCTTTCCAGTCCAGGGCCAGGCTAAGCTAGCTGGTTCTTATTCTCTCCAAGTTAGTGTCCTGCCTTGCAAGGCTGGCACAAGAGTGGAGATCCAGTCCGTGAAGGGTCTTTTTACAGAATGGTGCATTGCTGGTCCTAGCGAAAGGAGTGAGCTAGCCGCGACCGAGCCCTGGAGATTAAGCTGAAAGGGAACGGGCTGCTGATGTCCGAAGTCTTACTTCTTGGATGGCAGAGTTCAGCAATTTAAGGAGGACCCACTGCCACCCACTACACCAGCACAGGAGGGTAATGCAGCTTAGGTCACACTGCCCAGTGCTGGAGCCTGGCTTCAGTGTTCTGCTAAGCCTGGATCACCTTTACAAATTTGACCTTTTTTAAGTTTCATCTTGGTGCTGGCTAGGCAAGTAGTCTACCACTAAATCATGTCCCCATGTGGAAAAGGCTTAAAGATGACTGTATTCAGCAGCCTCGATGCTCTTAGGCCAAAGTGGTGATGGTATTCAGTGGGTTGAGAAGTCATGAAAAAAAAAAATTCCAAGAGCCAGGCATGGTGGCACATACCTGTAGTCAGCATTCAGGAGCTAGTGGTTTTGAGAATTTAAGGCCAGCCTCAGTCTTGAGGGACCGTTAGCCTGTTACAGATCCAACATCTATCCATCCTGACTGGACTACCCAGTGGCTGAGGGTCTTTTTTGTGAACCCTGGTAAGTGAAATTTTATCACAGCATTGCTGACCCCAAATTAACAGGATGGGCAGTTCTGGAGGGAGCTTTTAGCTTCCATACATCAAGGTTAGCTGCACTATTTGGCAGGTCAGAGTCCTCTGGGGAGTAACTACTATCTTATTAGGTTATAAATATACTTACCAGCTTTGCTACTGGCTTATTTAGGAGTATTGAGGAAGAAAAAAACAACCTGAACTCATAATCACTTGAGCCTAGGTGAAGAGTCACTATTTTAAAACTGTGCATTTACCTATGGCATTGCTGAGTGCTTCTCCACACAGGACAACTCCGCCTCTGTTGCGATGGGCAAGGCAAGGCTCATCATCGGCTTGGAAGAAATTAAAGGTGGTTCAAGATTTGAAACTCAAGCCCAGGAGGCAAAGGCAGGCGGATCTCTGTGAGTTCGAGACCAGCCTGGTCTGGTCTACAAGAGCTAGTTCCAGTCTCTAAAAAAACTACAGAAAAACCCGTCTCAAAAAACTAAAAGAAAAAAAGGAAAAAAAAAAAAAAGATTTGAAACTCAAATTGTTCCATTTTGACTCAAACTAAACCGACTAGTTCAAAGAAAGTCCCAGAGGTTTCTCCCACGCCTCATTGACCTCTGTGGCTTTTCAGGAAAGGGTCAGCCTGCTCCCTTTCACTCAACTTCAAATGGACTTTTGTTGTTTAGTTTTGCAGTGCTGAGTGTGGAACCCAGACCTGTCATGCTAAGTAAGCACCCTACCACTGAGAACATGCCCAGCAGTTTAAGAACACGTGAGCGGCCTTTTCCTTCATTTACCACATATGGTTGAGCTTACCTCATTTCCAGCTGCTGACTGACCCCTGGTCTATGGGGCTGTGTGGACCTTCCAGACACCACGACTGTCTCGAGGAATACTTCGGTGGCTGGATGGGAAGCAGCACGGAGTCGACTAGGAAAGAAGCTAAATAAACCCGCACAGGTGCTGTCCGCTCCATCTGGGTAACACCCTTCACAGCCCACCTCCTTCTGTTCCCATTTGTCCCACCCCATCTCCTTGTGCACACGTGCTGCCGTCTGCAGCCCCATGGTCCCCACCCTGGGGTGGGGGTGATATGCAGTGTGAGTACTTCTTAGGTGGTTCCTGCTGCACTGTCCACCAGGATCTCAAGGAAGGGCAGCAAGGAGATCAGAGGGGCTCACCATGACAGAGACAGGGTGCAGTTTGCCTGTGGTCAGAACACACAGGCCTCAACTCAAAAAAAGGATAGACAAGGTCTTCTGGGGGGCTCTCCCCACCTAGAGAACGCTAAGTGAGTCTAGGCAATCTGGAGCTGGCTTCAAAATCAGCAAGGGGGGGGGGGTTCACAACAAACAGTGGTAACAGAAGGTTTGTGTGGGAAGATGGTTAAGTTTGGTCTAAAACAAGCAGTGTCTCTGGTAATGAGCTGTTGTTAGGAAGTGGGGGCCTCTGAAGAAGGCTGCTGCCTTTCCAGGCCTGGCTTTTTGGGGAGAGGGCAAAGCAAAGTGAGGCAAGGGCCTGACTGAGGCACCTGGGGACGTCATGGAGGAGAGGAGCCCGCCAGTGTGTGCAGCAGCCAACCGGCCTGCTCTGGAATCCTGGCTCCGCTGTGCTACACAACAGCAGTCCTGTGATCCTGTGAAAGGAGGACGCCTGAGCTATCAGCAGGGGTCCTGGTACCTGAGAGCTGGGATAAGGCAGGGAGATAGGAGCAATACTGAGCTTGAAGGGACGGGGAGAGGGTGTGGTGGCTCCAAGCCTCAGCTGTCTGGAGCAAGAGGAGCCTGGTCACTGCCAGCCTGCACCTAGAGGCAGCCAGGTGCAAGTCCCTCAACCTCGCCAGCGGTCCTCCCAGCCCAGTATCTCTAATGGCTTCCAGGAGCCAAGGCAGAATCCAGAGGTCGGCCAGCCTCTCCCCAGGGGAGGAGGGAGCCAGGGAGCACTCAGAAAATCCTGCAGAGTAAATGCTAAACACCTGACCCTCCTGGCAGGTGGGTTTGTATGAGATAAGGATCAGCACCCACACTGAGACCCATCACTCACTGCTCTTGCCAGCCAGCAGCCAGAAAGGTGATGACACAACTTTAATCTCAGGCTACAAAAGGCAGAACCAAAGTGAAAAACAAGACGCAACTTTGTACAAAATGGACAGGTAACATTTATTAAAACGTGTCATACAAAAGGGCATGGTCTCTTCTATAAGAAGAAAATATTAAACAGTAACATTCAGTTAAAACCACGCTGTACACTGAGGACAGCAATTCTAGAAAGAACTATTTAACTTCTGCAACACAGGCGTTCACAAGTATCCATGATATGCACCTAATGACGATCTGCTTATCACCCCACGGTTCTGTGGCCCAAGAGTCACCTGACTTGCATAAATAAAGTAACTTTCTGGAAGAAACATTGGGAACCTCATAAAAAGAAAAGAGGCAGCAGCAACTGACATGACACAGGCTTCAAGCAACATTTAAAAAGAAAAAAATCACATTTGCAAAGGTGTTCCAGCATGTTCCCACAGGGTGCTGTCAGTAGAGATTTGCAATTAGAAACTAGTACCTTTAAATATGTAAATAGCAGAGAAAAAAAAGGAAAAAACCCAAAGCAACCCTGGATTCATTGGATAATGTTAGTTACCAGTCAAAGCAACCTAAAGCACAGGAGGCCAAGGGCAACCCTGCCCTTGGTCCCCAGCATTCCCACAGTGGGAGAGGCAAAGCTTCAGCCCGACCTTGGGGACCCTGCAGCAGCACACATTTCCCAGAATGCAGCACAGCCTTTGTTCCTCACCTTCCCTTCAACACCAGCTCAGGGTGTGCCACCCTTTGTAGCGTAGCCCGTAGCCCAAAGCCTGTTCAGGGTCAGAGTAGTTCAGTAAATGCTCCTGCAATGGAGGGAATCCTTTAAGGGCAGGCTCTTAAGAACCAGGCCAGAGAAGGTGAGCTCTAGAAATCCAAGGCAATGGGCCAGGGCTCAGAACAAGCGCACATGAGGAGCTGGACCATGCAGCTCACTGACGTGTGCATCCAAGACTGAAGGCATGGCGCAAGCAGATTGTGAAATGCAACCGGGGGGGCCTGGAAGCCCTTTCCTATAAGGCCTGGAAGCCCTTTCCTATAAGGCCTGGAGAAGTCAAGGCTCAAAGTAGATAACAAACACCTTGCTGGTGGGACACTGTCAAGTCCCTGAACGCGGGACAGTGTTGTCCACAACTATTCAAGCTTGTCTGGAAGGGCGGGGCTTTCCTAAGGCAGTGGTGAGGAGACCAGCACCACAGCACAGCCGGGTGCTAGGAAGGACCCCTGATGGGAAAGGCAGGTCAGAAGCCTCAATTTAATTAATGCCTAGACTATGGTTATTTCTCTGCCTCCTGGACCTAGGACACCCTACCTATTCACAGGGTCTGCCCCACTCCAGCTGAAAAGCTTTGTCACCATGCATGCAGGGGTGGGAGCAGCTCCTGACTACAGAATGGTTCAACTGCCTCAGGTAGAAATTACTAGAAGCTGCAAAGACTTCATCCTCACACATCTCAGGGTCATCCCTAAACCCACTGGCCTCTCCGTGAGACTAGGAGGCAAGTGTGAGCTGACTGTACAGTCCCCTCCATGCACTTCTTAGAGCCACAGAGGACCACTGCTGACTGGCAGATTTCCACACTGGGAGATGGGCGATCATCTGAACGTACCAAACCACTAGGAGGTAATTATCTAGTTTCTAGGTTAAAAAAAAACTACACCTATACTTATAACAAAGTTTTAAATACAAAGTGCTTTTGTATACCAAGATTGATACAGTGTTCATAAATAGATCCCTGTTTCACAATCTTGATCATAAGCATTTACTGGCAGTCCCAATTTTCTTTCCCCTTTTCAAACAAAGGTCAAAGGTGTCAGAAGCCTTATGATCAGAAACCCTTGCCAGAAATGTCTGTCACATTAGAGAAAGACAAACTTTAAAAACAAAATTTCACCCCAAAGCCAAGAAAAATAATTTTTATTTTAAGAAAAAGAAGTTTCTACTTAGCAATAATAATAGATGGCATAGGAGCAACACCCTGCCCTGTTGTCTAGCTTGCTCTGACAATTTAACGTGGCCTAGAGTTACCTGGGAAGGGGGTCTCAGTTGAGGGATTGCCCAAATCAGAGCAACCTGTGGGCACATCTGTGGTTGATAGTCTTGCCTGTCAATATTCAAGTTCCTGCTGAAAATCCGTCAGGAATGGATTGTGACACGGTAGTGTAAGCTGACAAAGACCCTTTCTCCCCTGAGCTGCCTTTGGTCAGAATGCTATCCCAGTCAAGAAAAGCACACTAGAGACCCCAGTAAGAGCCTCAGGCCGATCACATGCTTAAACACAAGACTTCTTTCCAACTCCAGGCAGATCAGGCCATGCAGGGTGGGCGGCCTTTCTTCCCTGAGCAGGTATAAGCTACTGGGACTTGTGAATGTGTGCAGTTTTCTCTCCGACTACAGAACATCATCTGTTAGATGGCACTGCTCAAGGTAGGACCCCCTTCCCACTTTGAACTCACATTCCTGGTCTCATAAGGAGCTGAGTGACAGTGTTGTTCAGTGTACCCTCTGAACCACATCCCCCAGATCAGTGTATTTTTGAGACTTTTCTCAAGTATAGCCTTCTGTTTATAAGTTGCTGCCTCTGCCAACACTCTCTCTCACTCTGAGCATGGGAGTGTCCCGCTCACAGGTAACTCTTAGCCATGCATCCCTGGCTAACCCTTCTTGGGAAGCACCATGATCTAAGGCAGGGGGCCCCACAGGACACTGCCAGTACTGTGTTGAGTCACTGCAGGCTGGAAGTCTAGTCTGGATGCTACCATTAAATGAGGAAGCTTAGGGTTACAAACCAACTAGAAACACCTATCTCTGTCACCCATAGACTTAAAAGGAGACACAATGGTTCAACCCCAATTAGAACTAAACACACAATCATGCTTTGTCAAGAGTCTGCAGCACTATGACAGGAGCCATGTCACCTGTTTTGGACTCAGGTCTATCTAACATTGCCATAGTTTCAGCTAGAACTTTAGAAAGCATGAAACTAGACATGAAAGAGCTCTGTTCACATCTCAGCCCAGGAGTCAGGCTGTAGTCTCGAGGAGAGTAGCATCCAGTGATGCACTACCAACGCAAAGCCTCACAACTCTGCAGCCACCAGGACCCCAGGGCACGGCATGATAGAAAACTGCTACCACCTGAGTGCACTGGTGGGTTAGTCTGCCACCAAGTCCACTGCCTCAGTCACTGCTAGCCGGAAAGGCTGTCTTGCCAGCTGGGCACTGGGTGAACTTATCCCCATCATCCATTCTAGGCCAGGACCAGAACATATAAATTTGAGGAATTAAATTTTTTTAATTGGCCTACTTAGAGCTGGTCTTTCAGAAATATCTTCCTTTTTTTTCTTTTTAAGCTTCTCTCATAATAGCAAGTGGCACGCATCATCTGTGCCCAGATTTGCATTAATTACCATAGTTTATTTTTGTGCATGCCACTCAAGGGCCAGACCCTATTTTTAGTTAGCCTCAGTTGTATTCTGCTCAGCCTTTGCAGCTTCATAGGACTTGGTACAAGAAGTCACATGCCTGTGGAAACTGTCCCTCCACATAAATCTCTTTGCACAGATATTACATTCATAGGGTTTTATGCCTGTATGAATTTTCATGTGACCCACGAGATGGTGCTTCATTTTGAATTTCTTACCACAGACACCACAGCCATAAGGGCGAAGACCGAGGTGCATGCTCATGTGTCGATCTCGCTGACTCTTGTGTGTGAAACTTTTCCCACACTGACAAGGATACAGCTTGTCAGTGGCTGAGAATCCTAAGTGGGACGCCTCTTCTTTTATCCCCGTCACCATTTCAATATTCTCACTGTAGCCGGCTGCGAGGGCAGCCTCCTGTCTATGCCCAATTAGGTTCCCATCCAACCTTTCTCCAGAAAACTCTTCCATGGAGGAGCCATAGAAGTCCACCTGTTCGTCATAGTTGCTCTCCTCTGCTTGCTCATCAAACTCTGCTTCCACTTTCTTCTCCACAACCTGGAAGTCTTCCTCCACTCCTGAAGGCTGGACCAAGTGCTCTGTCTGCATGGTGTTGATGGACTCGGTGACCTGGTGCTCGTCATAGGCTGCATGGACATCCATGCCCTCACACGCCTGTTCCAGGCGTTCAGGCTTCACGTGGATCCAGCGTTTGTGAGCCATTATGCTGGGCTTGCTGTACAGAGGCCGGGTGTAGTGGAACTCAGCGCTGTCGCTGGCCCCCTCCTCCCCATCCTGGCTTGCCATCTCGGTGCTCAGTCGGTCATGCTCTGTGGACGAGTTACTGGGCAAGTACTCTTGCTCAGTGAGTTGAGATGACAGCTCATCTTTGGTGCTTTCCTCTTCATTCTCACCATCCCTCAGTTCCTGTGCTTTGGGGAAGTCAGTATGCCCCGCAGAGCCCAGCTCAAAGCTCTCTACCAGGCCATTGTAGTTACTGCTACTGGGAGACTGGTGGTCACTGCCATGATTTAGTTTCTGACACAGAACTGTGGGGTTTCCCTCCAGAACCTCAGTGCACTTGTCCACCACATGCCACATCTGCAGGAAGCTGGCTGCTGTTAAGTAACTAACAATTTCTGGAGCAGGCATCACAAGGCGTCCTGTGTAGCTAGATAGGAGAATGTTCTCAAACACTCTTGGGTTCATCACATCAGGCAAAACAATTCTCCTACTGTTTTTTAGGAGTACTTGGTCACAAAAGTAGGGTGAACTGGCAGCAAGAACGGCTTTGTGTGCCCGGAAAATGTGGCCTTGGACTACAATGGAGACGTCACATAACTGTCCTTGTTGTCGCTGCTGGTTTAGTTTCTGAAGAATGGTGCTGGAAAAATCTGGAAACTCTACTCGAAAAGAGTTTGTTCCAGGCTCCATTTCATCACCAATTCTGTTCAGTGCTGCAAGAGAAAGAAACGTTAGCACCAACTCCAGCGCCAAAGAAGCCCATCTAGCCATCGCACAGCACACTAAGACAGGTCCCAGATTCCATCAAGTCCTCTAGCCTCTGGGCACTCATCCACAGGAGTCAATCCCAAGATAGGTCTGTAGGTTCAAGAGTGCCAAAAGGAAGAACCAGCTACCATCTCTACAGCTCGCCATTTTGTTCCATCTGTGGGTGAGGAGGCAGAATTCACAGTGAATACATCTGTGAACATATAAATCCCCTAAGCAAAACAAAGTAAGTATTTCTAATAAAAACAAACACATTCTTATCAAAACAACTCATTTGTAATCCTTGACTTTCATTTATAGGGAGGGGGGACGACAACAGGACTGTGGGAAGGGCCAAGGAGGAACAACAAGACTATGGGTGGGGGTTGGGGTGCAGCTGCGGGGAGAGAGGAGACAGAATGCTTGCTTAGCATGTATGTCTCTGGGTTCCATCTTCATGCACACTCCAAAGGAAAAGAAGAGTGAAGAACTGAACTGTGGGAAGACGGAAATGCCTATGCAAAGGTTCTCCAGACAGGGATGAACAGTCACAGACCCATGAGCATGAAGGTAAGTGTTTGGCTCCCTGGGACCCAAGAAAAAAGATGAGCCTAGCAGCTGATGACTGTAACCCCTAACACAGCAGGGTGAGGTCAGGAGGATAACCCTCCTCAGCTCTGGGGCCAGTCAGTCTAGCCAATCAGCCCCAGGTTCAGTGAGAGGACCTGTCTCAACTAAGGCGTTTCTACACACAAGCACACACACGTGTGTACACACAGACACAAAGAGACAACTGGTTTGGAGTTCAGGGAAGAACTGAGGGAGATGGTACTGGAGACAGAATCGGGGAAATTCTATGACTGGTCTTTTAGCACTAGGAAACACTACAGGCTGAATACAGGTCATTCTTGGGGTCCGCATGTCTGCTGGACAGTTTACCAATTGAACCATCTCTTAAAATAGTTCTTAAACATCTTCCTTAAAACCCTGTATCATCCTATGAGTCCTCAAAAGTCATTCTAGAGTGACAGGAGAGATGACAAGTGAAGAAACTGAGGTGTTCTTAATGTGGAGCTGGGTGTGGCGCATGTCTTTCATCTCAGCACTTGGAGCAGAGGCAGGAGGATCTCTGTGAGTTCAAGGGTAGCCTGATCTCAGAACTAGTTCCAGGACAGCCAGAACTGTTACACAAAGAAACCCTGTCTAAAAACAAAACAAAAATATATTACTCTATGTCAAATGCGGTTCCCATGCAGTTTTGCTTTGGTGTCCAGCCTCCTCCCCCAACTGTGTAAACCAGGCTGCTTTCAAACTGCCTGCTTCTACCTCTTGATTGCTGGAACTAAAGGTGTGCACCACCACACCTGGATCTTCCTCCTTTCTTCCTCTTCTCCCAGGGCTGATTTTGTGCTAGGTGAGTGGGCTGTCACTGAGCTCCAGGTCAGTCCGCTACTTAAAACTATTTGGCAAATGCAGGGCTTGATGTTCTTTTTTTTTATTTTTTATTATTTTTTATTTTATTTATTTATTTATTTATTTTTATTTTATTTTTAATTTATTTATTTATTAAAGACTTCTGTCTCTTCCCCGCCACCACCTCCCATTTCCCTCCCCCTCCCCCAATTAAGTCCCCCCCCCCCCCCAGCCCGAAAAGCAATCAGGGTTCCCTGTCCTGTGGGAAGTCCAAGGAACCCCCACCTCCATCCAGGTCTAGTAAGTTGAGCATCCAAACTGCCTAGGCTCCCACAAAGCCAGTGCGTGCAGTAGGATCAGAAACCCATTGCCATTGTTCTTGAGTTCTCAGTAGTCCTCATTGTCCGTTATGTTCAGAGAGTCCAATTTTATCCCAGGCTTTTCCAGACCCAGGCCAGCTGTTTGTGATAGCCAGAACCTGGAAACAACCTAGATGCCCTTCAATGGAAGAATGGATGAAGAAAGTATGGAATATATACATATTAGAGTACTACTCAGCAATAAAAAACAAGGACTTCTTGAATTTTGCATGCAAATGGATGGAAATAGAAAACACTATCCTGAGTGAGGTAAGCCAGACCCAAAAAGAGGAACAAGGGCTTGATGTTCTTAAGTTCAGTTATTTTAAGCAACTTTCCCAAAGTTAAAAGCTTGTTTTAACTAAGTGGAGAGATGAATCCAGGTCAATGTTAAATCCAAAGCCTATAGTTTTTTCCCATAGGCTTCTCATATCACCCTGTCTGCTCCAAGGAGATCAGAATGCTGGACCAGTCATTAATAATCTTTAGATAAGACAGTGCTTTTTGGACAAGACATTAACTTATGGTTTTATACATCCTAAAACATTTCATAGTAGCTTAAAATAAAAATGAACATAAAACAAACTGTTTAGATGTGTTCTAAGTTTTGTTATTTTTCTGAGACAGGGTTTCTCTGTGCAGCCCCAGGAACTGGCTCTGTAGACCAGGCTGGCCTCAAACTCAGAGATCCAGCTGCCTCTGTCTCCTGAGGGCTAGGTTTAAAGGGGGCTTCACTACTTCCAGGCAGGTGTTCTAGTTTGTAAAGGAAATACAGACCATGCATTTGCATGGCTGACAGGTGCCTATGTAAATTCCAAGAGCGCAGTCTGAGCTGGGGGTATCTGGGTGGAGAGGCTCTGGGTATTTCTTCCAGAAAGCAGGAGGACTGTGTTAAACTAGAAACCAGGAGCGGAATATTATAGCAGCTGTGCTGTGAATAAGAAATTGATGCTTGAAGACAGACTTCCCTTAATATCAGGTCTGGACCCCCATCTCCCATTTCCCTGGTAACACACGGACTTTGAGACAGGGAAGCATCACAGATGCTTCTTAAGGATGAAAATGCCATATAAAAGGGAGGAAGGTGGGGTTATCAGGGCTTGGTTGAGGGCTATTAAGAAAAAGTTACTACCTCTTGATCCAAAAAAAAAAAAAAAAAAAAGAACATGTTGGGTGGGTGCGTTGGTACAGCCTTTAATCTCAGCATTTGGGAGGCTGAGGCAGATTACACAGAGAAACCCTGTTTCAAGAATAGAACAGAAAAGCGGGGGGGGGGGGGGGGGGGGGACCCAGTTCCCACCAGTGGATACAAGCCATTCTAAACATTACACAGTACTGTCCTTTCCTTAATCCAACTGGGCTTGCCAGATCACCCCTCAGGAAAGCTGATTGATACACTTTAAGGAGATGGAGAGGAGCAATAATATATAGGCCAGAAGCTCCTCCCCCAATGCAACCATAGCTTGGAGAATTTCAAACAGTCTACCTAGTTTTCTACCTTCCTATCTCTTACTACTATTGACTCAAATCCAAAGCATGCTTGCCCCAATCCGGAGCTTTCTTATCCTTACTTTAAAGACACCCCACTTCACACAAGTACTTGCTGTTCTCCATTGCTGAACCTGTCTGCCATCTTCATCTCTCTTATTCGTCCCTCCGCCCCCAGCATGCTCCAAGATTCAGTCTGCCTATCCTGTTCTTCCTCTGTCTATTAAAATGTTCTTCAAGCTTCCTGGATTATCTTAAAATTCCTTCATCAAGGAGACTGAAAATCTGCAAAAGGGAACCCGGACTCCCGATAAACGGCAGCAGTGTTGGTTGCCAAACACTGCCTGTACTCATGCCTCTGAAATCACAGCCAATAAAAAGCTGGGCACAGACAAAGGAGTACACACCTGTAAGTCCAGCATGGAAACCTAGGAAGGATGATTGTGAGCCTGACGCCCACTTGGGTTACATAGTGAGACTGCCTTAAATAATCAACAGTTAACTGAAGATAACATATCTCACCACAAAGGGAAAAAATAACTAGAAAACATGCCATGCTTGTTTAGCTGTGTCAAGGTGGTAACTGTCCTTGTCTCTTAGTCAGGGTAGATGTGGCTGAGGCTGGTTTAGACTATAGCAGCTGTTTCAATTGGCTAAAAAAAAAAAAAAAATCAGTTCCAAGATTCCTTAAAAGCCAATAAAACACCCTGAATGCAAAATATGGGGACTATCAAAGACCATCAAGAATCATTACTATTTTTTTTTCTGAGAAAGCGTTTCTCTATGTAGCCCTGGCTGGCCTTGAAACTTACAGATATCTGCCTACCTTAAAGGTGTGCACCCCCTACTCAACACAGGGTTTCTCTGTAGCTTTGGAGCCTGTCCTGGCACGCACTCTGTAGACCAGGCTGGAATCGAATTCAGATATCCTCCTGCCTCAATCTCCTGAGTACTGGGATTAAAGGCATGTGCCGCCACCACCCAGCTAACATTACCATTCTTATGGGGTTTATAATCTATGAGGGGGAACAAACATGCCCAGCATGTCATTCAAGCAAAGCCTGAAACTCCCACAAGAAGAACCCACAATGGGGTAGCATATGGTCACAAGGTCTTAGCACTATTAAGTTTGGAGCCACCAGACATGGAGATAGGGCTCTCATTCTTCTCACATACAACGTTTTTATGGAAATAATCCAAGAGATATGAAAAATGAAATAAACTCCAAATCCTAGAGAATGGTATGAGCTGTGAGCCAGAAATTAGAGCTACTGGAGATGGAACCTGGGAGAAGAGATGCTGCCCTGACCAGCACCTGCACTTCCTGCTCCAGACAGTCCTGACAGCACCAGACTCTAGAGAACTAACAATGCCTCATCCTCCCAGCAAGGCTGAGTGTCCTAGTCTGCCTTAACTGTCTAGACGGCCTAGAGCCCTCTGAGAGGAAAGCCTTAACAGGAAATACCTGAATCAGATTGGCCTGTGGCCATGTGTGTGGGGAAGTGCCTTGATTATTAATTGTTGTGGGAGGGCCCAGACTACTGTGGGTGGCACCATCTCTAGGCAGGAAGCCTTGGGTTGTATAAGCAATTAGCAGAGCATATACAGTAAGTAGTTTTCCATGGTTCCTGCCTTGAGTTCCTGCCCTGATTTCCCTTCCTGATTGGAGTGTGACCTGGAGAAGTCTGAAGTTAGGGCTAACTGCAAGGCTTAATACAGTCCACACTTAAGTAATAAAAATAGTATGGCTGGCTGGGTGGTGTTGGCACACACAGAGGCAGGCAGATCTCTGAGTTTGAAGCTAGCCTGGTCTACAAAGCGAGTGGCAGGAGAGGCTCCAAAAAGCTACACAGAGAAACCATGTCATGAGAGAGAGAAAGGTGTGTCTGGAAAATAGAGGGAGACAACGATAGGATTTAAAGACTTGGTGGGCAGGAAGCTACAGTGCTGTGAGCCTTAAGTGGTGCCATCAATAAAATGAAGAAAGCACGCACAGAAGGGAAGACTGCATTTGTATGGTATTATGAATAAGCTGAACCGAGTACGCACAAAGCCTACATTCAGTATTAAACAACCCGATAGAAAAGAATGGGCAAGGAGTCTGAAAGGCATTTCTCCAAAGAGCAAGACTCTCATGGACAATGTTCAGCACTAGCAGAGCCACTATGTGCTGGAATGCACCTGTCTGCCACCTTCACGGTCCCTGGTTTCATGCCCAGTACACTTTCCCTCATCCCTAGAACAAAACTACAAGGGACCCTTTTGTCACCCACTAAGATGGCATGAAAAATAAGACATGAACAACTGTCAGTAGTATCCTATGCAGAGTAGAACCATTATACACACTTGCTGGTTGGCATGAAATGGTTAAAAAGGTGCATAAAGGGGGTTGGGAGTTTCTCAAACAGTTAAACAGATGTAATCCAACAATTCTACTTTTGAGCCCAGCAGAAGCGAACACATGATGTTCATATCAAAGTTCATGCATGACTGTCTATAGCAGTATTATTAAAGAATAAAAGTGTGTATCAAGCAATGACTACATAAAATACAGCACAGCCACCTGGCAATAAGAAAGAACAAGGTGTCAACATGGGAGGGCCCTGGAGTCAAGGACAAGGAGCTAGGGCTGGGAAGTGGCTGGCTCCCGGTGCAGTGCAGTGCGCCGCTTGAACAAGAGAGAGGAGGAGGAAGAAATTAGTGGGAGGGAGGCAGGATATGGAAAGAGAAAGGAAGGAGCTAGACACAAAGTCCACATTTTCATCATTCCATTTCAAAATGACACATTCAAAGCAAATTTAGCAAGCAGATTAGTGACTGTCAGAAACTAGAGATAGAGGAAGGTTAGAATGGGGGCAGGGTTCTGTTCTTATCCCTGCAGGACAACACTCATTTTCAAAAATTCAAGGGGACCCTGGATATTTGAATACTGACAGATGGAAAAAATTACTACCCAATATGGATCACCAAGAAAATCGAATAGGTTCCGTAAGTAATAATGTTTACAAATATTTTTTGTTTATTTATATTCATAAATATATAGAGCTGGTTTTGGAGTTGGACTCTGGCTCAGTCCCTCTCTAATTCCAAGCCTGTTGTTAAGAGAAAAACCCAGAGTTTCTGTCTCATGTCAAGAGCCAGACAGAGATCGCGATGGCGGCACAGCCCAGAAACTGGTATTTCAAAACCGCCACTTTCTAGTAGACCTGATCCCCGCTGCCTACCCAGGCAGGAAGAGCTGAGCCACCGGCATGGTCTCAGCCACTTTAACGACTGGGGATTTTGTTGGGTATGGTGGCACACACCCTTAATTCCAACAGAGGCAGGTGAATCTCTGTGAGTTTGAGGACAGCCCTGTCTATAAACAAATTCCAGGACTAACAGAGCTATACAGAGAAACCCTGTCTCAAAAACAAAACAAACAAACAAAACAAAAAACAAACAACAACAAAACAAAACAAATCTTAAAAACAAAGAAAAATGGGCGTTTTTTAAGGTGGTCAGAAATTCTACAATTCAGCTGTGAAGGTTATAGGCAAATACGTGAAAATACTAAAATGGACATCTTAATCTTTACTGAATTTAAGATACTAGGAGCTAAGTCCAGGGCTTCACACATGATAGCCAAGCATCTTCAGGGCTTCATTTCCAGCCCATGAATTGTTTTCATTTCATTTTACAGAGTAATACAAGGTAAAACGAGGTACCGATGTCTATTTTTTTTTTTTTTGAGATGGGTCTAGCTACGTAGCCTAGGAAGCCTCAGTCTCCGTTCTCCCACCTCAGTATCCCGAGGGCTGATATCACAGATGCAGGCCACCATGCCCAATTGCCAATGCAAACTGTGAATGTCTGTGGGTTTTACCTCCAGGCAGAACATAATCCCATTTTGGAGCAAGAAATACCTTGGCCACATAGCTATGGCTACCAATAAACAAAAGAACAATGACAAACAGGACTATAAAGGAGCTGTTGATTTTCTCGAGTACATGACTGGGGGAGGGTCTAAGACCATCAATCTCCTCATGCCCCCAACTCTCCAAGTGAACTAAATGAGGTCAGAGGTCAACTGATAGGGGACTCCATAATGCAGCTTCCATGGTGGGGTGGAACCTGCCCGTGGTCCTCTAAGTACCCCTCACCCACGCTCTGTGAGCAAGCCCAATAAACTCACTGGTTCGCCAAGTTGGACTTTGGTGGAATCGTACTCTGTTCTGTCCTTGGTGCCCTATCTGGGATGAATACTCGTTTGCTCGCATCTCCCTAGGAAAAGTTAATGCAACACTGGGTAACCAGGAAAATGTCATCATTAATAGAACAGCAGCTGATTATGAACATATAAACAAATACATATATAAGGATGTATACAAACACAACTGTCTCACAGTATCTGTGGGGATTGGTTCTTAGACTATCCCTCCAACTTCAAAACTCTGGGGATGCTCAAGTCATCTGAAGAAAACTGAGTATTTACAATACCACCTACTCAAGTCTTCAAAAATATTTTAAGATCTTAAGACCACTCATAACCCCTGACATGCTGGTGAACAGTGTCAGACCGCACTGCTTAGGGGAGGGCAAGAATATCTCCACTTGAGCAATACAGTTGCCATCTTTTTAAAAAGATTTACCCTAATTTTGTTTTTAGAGACAGGGTTTCTCTGTGTAACCCTGGCTGTTCTCGAACTCAAGAGATTCACCTGCCTCTGCCTCCTGAGTCCTGGGATTAAAGGCGTGAGCCACCACCGACAGGCACTTTACTGTATTTTTAACTATGTGTGTGTGTCTTTCGTGGGCTTATGCATGTGAGTACAGGTGTTCTGTAGGCCAGAAACTGGCACTTGATTCCAGGAGCCGGATTAACAGGCAGCTGGGAGCTATGCAATGTGGGTGCTGGGGGACTGAACTCTTCTCTGCAAGAGAAGTACGTGTTCTTAATCCCTGAGCCATCTTTCCGGCCCTTCCTAAACATTTCCCATCTGTGAAGGGTGACTCCGTGACTCCAGAGACACGGGGACTGCACACAGCACTTCATGTTCTCTACCTCATTCGCTGTGCTTACAACACTTGAAAGTTACTGTGACAAGACCAAGGGGACACACTTGTTTGCCCAAGGCTGTCTAAGGAGTGAGAGATTTAAGCCCAAAGCACATGTTCAGGCCAATGCGAGTCTGAGAGGCGGGGGCAGCAGGTCAGGAAAGAGGGTAAACACGAGCATGTTTCACAAATAACCTAAATAATCCTTCTTTTGAAACAAGCCTCAGTACATTACCTTAGCCTAGCTTTAAACTTGGGGCAACTCTCCTGCCTCTTGAATGATGGGATTATAGGCATGTGCCACCACAGTAGCTAAATTAAGTAATCCATAATTTAGATTATGAGCAATTCATTAATAAACTTCAGAGCATTTGTCAACCTTAGACTTAAACCAGGAATTTTAAGTCACCTTGCACAGAATTTTAAAACTCCAATAGCAATGGTCTTCTAAAACAATTACACCAATCCCAGCCCATTCCCTCCATTCATTGAAGCTATATGGCTCTTTTTGTTTTGTTTTTTTTTTCAGACAGGGTTTCTCTAAGTAGCCCTAGCTACAGAGGAACTCACTCTGTAGATTAGGCTGGCCTGGAACTCAGAGATCCACCTGCCTCTGGGCTGCTGGCTTTAAAGGCCCCTGCCATTATCGCTCACCTGTTTAAAGGCTTTTTAAAGGAGAAGATAAGGGCTGGTGATAGGGCTCAGTGGGTAATGGGGCCTACTGCCAAGCCTAAAACCTGAGTTCAATTCCTAAGATCCACATGGTGGACGGAGAGAACTGGCTTTTCCAAGTTGTCCTCTGACCTCCACATGTTGCAGGTATAGGCCCACACACATACAAAGTAAATAAAACAGTGATGAAAATTAAAAATAAAATCAAAATAAAGCAGAAAGCCAAGAGCCTTCTATTGAAGACTCCCTGAAATAGAATGCCTCTAACATCCCTCCCATGCTGAAGAGCTGAGCAGTGGCCACTGTTTAATCTTCAGCTGAGAAAATTGTACATGAAATCTTAAACACCATTTTAGCAGGAACTAAACACCATCAAAGCATAGACAGCGACAAAACAGGGAGGCAGACCGACCAGCCCCTGTCCTGAAGCCTCCAGTGAAGTCTTTAATCAGAGCATATGGTGACTTCCATGCTCTCGGCAGAAGGCACATGTAAGAACAGTAAATGCTGCTTTAGGAAATTTAAAATCTGGCACAGATGTAGAAAACTACCAACACCCCATGTCTACCAAAACTCTTGTTAGTCAAATGCTTTGCACCCACAAAATGCAGCCTGTACTGAACCCTGCAGAGCTCTGCACAGCTTCCTCAGTTCAGAGAGTAAAGAGAAGCTCCCAAGCTCACAGGACAAGACCTCCTCAGGCCATACAGCTCAGCAAGTGGCCGGCCTCAGAAGTTTAACTTCAACTCTAATACTTTTCCAAGAAAATGATCATGTGGCAGAAATTCCTCTCTGAAATTAAATTATTATTGGGAAGTACTACAGTGACTAGCCTTAAAATGTGCAGTATTTCTTCTTCAGAGGAATCATCTGACCTAGCCCATTAATAACCTTGACAAGGGGTTGGAGAGCAGAGGACCCAGATTTGACTCCCAGCACCAATATGGCAACTCTCAACCATCTCCAGTCCAAAGGGGATCCGATGCCCTCTTCTGGCTTCTCTAAGACACACATGAGGGCAAACCATCCATCCACATATATAATAAATAAAACCTTAAATAAAACAAGAAACAAAACTTGACAAACTACATTGTTTTTGCTGACAGGAAATTTTACAGTAAACAGTTTTTTCAAAATTACATTATTAGTACATTTATAGCTTACCCAGTGCAACGCTGTCTTCCTGGTGATACTGTTCCTTATGACATGGCCATTAAAGAGCAATCTGAATGAACAGAAAAAGAAAATGCATTTCTCAATTTTGTTTTAAATTAAATCACACTGATTTCTGAAAGGAAAAACCATATTCAAAATTTAAAATGCTGGGTTAAGAGTTCCTGCTGTTCTTTCAGAGGATCTGAGTTCAGTTCCTGGCACCCACTCACAACTGCCTGTACCTCCAGCTTCAGGTGGATGCAATTATCTCTCCTGGCCTCCGCAGGTACCTGATACACGTGACACTTGAACACACACATGCAAATAAGAATAATCTTATAAAAGCAGAAAAATAATTTAGGATGCCTGTGCCAGTCTGTGTACATGTGCTTCCCTGATGAACAGCGTGTGTGAGGAGCAGACAGAGAAGCTCGTTAGCACTGCAGCTGGGCGGTGGTGCCGTACACCTTTAACTCCAGCATTCAGAGGCAGGCGGATCTCTGTGAGTTCGAGGCCAGCCTGGTCTAGAGTGAGTTCCAAGACAGCCAGGGCTATTACACAGAGAAATCCTATCTCAAAACACAAACGTAACACAACACAACACAACAAGACTGCTGCTATCTAGCCCACTTGTAATCCCAGAACTGAAGGGCTCAACACAGGCTTCAGAGGGAGTTAAGGGCCAGTCTGAGCTACACAGCAAGACTCCTTCCCAACAAAAGTTTTAGTTATGAACTTTCATTCTAGAAGTGTTATGCCCAGATCACAGAATCCCCCCCAAAAGCAACTAAGAGACTGAGTCCTGTATGTAAAAGCAAAGACCCTTTATTTTTATTTTTTTCTTCTTTGGTTTTTCGAGACAGGGTTTCTCTGTAGCTTTGGAGCCTGTCCTGGAACTAGCTCTTGTAGCTCCACTCGAACTCACAAAGATCTGCCTGCCTCTGCCTCCCGAGTGCTGGGATTAAAGGTATGTTGTGCACCACCACCTCTCGGCCTGACCCTTTATTCTTACACAAGTTTTCAAACTTGGGCTCTCTGATCATATGTATTGGAATGATCGGAGAGCCCTGAGCTCAGAGTTGGGTTTTTGTAGTAGCAGTGAGGGATTTCTAAGGTTCAGGACCCCTGATTGGCTGACATTTGTCTAGGGGTGTCCTAGTGAAAAGTGATGGGTGTGTGCTGGCAGATGATCCTGTCTACAACCAATGGCTGGAACATCAAGAATTTCCTTTGGATGGTCTGTTCCTGAGTGGTACCTGGGTAGTCTCAGTTTGTGGTCTTTCTTGGAACCAGTTATTGCCTCAGGGTAAACTACTGAGACCCAGACCTCTCTTGAGCTTGTTGTGGCTGGGTCCTATGGAAGACCTTGGCTTCTGTTCCTGTGGCATCTTAAAATAAAATTTTATTACATTTTAACTTGTTTTCCTGTGTTGTACAAAGGCACACAGCACACACGGAGGTCAGAAGACAACTTGCAGGAGTCCGTCCTCTCCTTCCGTCACATGGCTGCTGGGGAAATCCAGGTGTCAAATTTATCAAAGCCAAGCCAGGTTGTCAATGTTAGGCAGGGCCAGGGACATTTTGTACAGCTCCACCTTGGCTGAACTGTGACAATTCATTCCTGTAACAATTATAATTTTCCCTCCTGAACTCAATCAATGTGTTTCTAAAGATTCTTGCCTTCCTGTCTGGTCATCCTCAGGAATGGCCAGCAGGAAAGAAGTTTATGATCACCCAAGAGTCTTAGTTATATCTGACTACTCATCTGCTACTAGCAGCAATCACCCACTGCAGAGCCAAAGAGAACATCTACTGCCCTCCCCCACTCCTCTAAAACACCTATGGGACCCCCATTCTGCCACAGAGGCCCAAGCTCTCTCTCATCAGACCCTGCCATACTGATGGCCGTTATCCATGGTGTTACTCATTTTTCTAGAACATTCCTTACCCCCAAAGAAGTCTGCCTCATTGTCCCCCTTGATCTTCAAACCATTCATAATGGTGTGGTGATCTCAGAGAAGGGTCCTCTGAAATGGGTTGCCTGCTGGGACCTCTCTCCTTGTTACTGCTTTCTCTCCATCTTACTCCATTTTCTACTGAGGAATTATTCTGTTTTTCCCACAGCCCCACCTGTTTGTTGCCCTTTTCCTAGCAAACCCCAATACTGGGTCAGAGTGGTCCCCTGGGTTGGATCAGGTTCTACTGCCTTTAAAGCAGCTGAGTCAAAGGACAATTACTTTCCTCAGTTTATTGTTAGTGACACGTGTTACACCTCTGGGAGGAAGTTCTGCTAGGAAAGAAAACTGAGGCAGCTTGTTGTCTAAGTCAGTAAGATCTTGAGATCCATTCTGAGGGTTTTGCTGAGCTAATTGGATCAGATAAGCAGCCCAACAGAAGCATCCATTTCTTTACATTTAGACTGTCAGCTGGGTATGGCAGCCTGGCACGCAGGAAATCTAACTCTTGGGTGATGGAAGCAGGAGGACCAGGAGCTGAAGGTCATCACACTGGGAGTTCCAAGCTTCTCTCGGCTACAACAGATAGTATATATGTTGCAGGGTTTTTCATTTTGAGATATGTAGTCCTGGCTGTCCTCAAACTCATAGAGACCCACAAGCCTCTGCTTCCCAAGAGCTAGGATAAAGACATGCACCACCACCACCCAGCTCATACATTGCAGTTAACACCCATGGTTACTGAAGTAATGGCTAAAGCACTCTTGGGAAGATTAACGTTTCTGACGACACAAACGATTACTCCGTGTGGAAGAACCATGGATGCAATTCTGAGGTAGACAGTACTCAGATGAGTGGGACACAGAATGTTGTTAACAAGGTTTTAGTTGTTTGTCAAGACAGGGTTTCTCTGCAGCCCTGGAACTCCCTCTATACGTAGACAGGCTGACCTCAAACAGAGAGATCCTCAAACAGAGGCTGTCTCTGCCTCCAGAGTGCTTGAATTAAAAGCATGCGCCACCACTGCCCATTGTTGTTACAAGTTTACTGAATATTTTTTTTGTTTTGTTTTGAAGACAGGGTTTCTCTGTAACTTTGGTGCCTGTCCTGGAACTAGCTTTTGTAGACCAGGCTGGCCTCGAACTCACAGAGATCTGCCTGACTCTGCTTCCCGAGTGCTGGGATTAAAGGCGTGCGCCACCACTGCAGGGTTGTTTACTGGGTACTTTAATCAATATGTATTTGCTTATGTTTTTCCTTTAATAAGAGCATTAGAGTGTGCATAGATTTTGTTCTTTAAACCTCAAAAACTTAAAAGTCAAAGCCAGGAGGTGGTGGTGCACATCTGTAATCCCAGCACTCGGGAGGCAGAGGCAGAGGCAGAGGTAGGAGGATCTCTGTGAGTTTGAGGACAATCAATTTTACAAAGTGAGTTCCAGGACAGCCAGGACACAGAGAAACCTAGTCTCAAAAAACCAAAAACATAAAAAACAAACAAAAAACCAAAACAACAAAATTCCCCAAAACAAAAATTTGAAAATGAATTTAAAGGCAGGCAAGATTTTTATAAAACATAAAAAACAAAAACAAAGGATAGCCTATGAAGAAATAACAGACCATTTTCTTTCTTTTTTTTTCGAGACAGGGTTTCTCTGTGGCTTTGGAGCCTGTCCTGGATCTAGCTCTTATAGACCAGGCTGGCCTCAAATTCACAGTGATCCACCTGCCTCTGTCTCCCCAGTGCTGGGATTAAAGGTGTGCGCCACGGCCGCCCGGCTAACAGACCATTTTCTACTCTAATAAAGGAGTATTCTTTCAGCCTCACAAGTTCTCAGCAAGTCAGAGGCGTGTTTCTCAAGTTGCCTTTAGGGTAAATTTCTGCATTTATTCCAAGGGGGAAAGGAGGGGAGATAGGTAAAACTGGGCCAGCAGATTTAAAACAATTTAAGGTTCCAGACTCCTTTTCTAAGCCTTTAGCTGAACCTGCTGCTGTTAAGAGTTTACATCAATACAAGGGATTCAACTAAAAGTTCCAAACCAAGCTTCTATACTGCACTGTGGAAGTGCGTACAGCAGCTTCAGAGGTCTTCAGAGTACCTTTTGCTGTGTGGATGTAGCATAAGCACAGCGCAAAACTTACCCCTGGAACTGCTTTGCCAAGTTATGCTGACACTACATCATTCACACAGTTCTATACAATCCATTTCTAGAACGTTCTTGCTATCTCCTGACACTTTGTGCACATTGAACAACACGCTACCTGACTCTAGTACTTGATCAATTGTTTCATGTCCTGTCTGTTCCAGACAGTCCACTGCAAAAGTTTTAAACTGTATTTGTCCTCACGTTTCGCTTACTTCTCTCCGACGATCCTTTGGAAACAAGCAGGGAATGAACCCCTCTTAGGTTCTAAATTCTTCCCTAAGATGCCCCTAGAAATTCCGCTACCGTGCTAAGAGTTTCAAAGGCAGATGTCAACCTGGTCCTTCCTGAGTACAGATAACGCTGACCTGGTTAAAGAGCGGCAGTTCGTGACAGCCATCTGGGGTTCCTGGAAAGAGCAAATAACAGCGGAGAGCTGTAGAGAACACATGGAAGAGAAGTTCAGGATCCACTAGCTGCCTAAACCCTGAAATGGGCCAGTCTGAGGGCCAGAAGCTCTGGGTGACACCTGTCAGAACTGAGGCCAGACTGTGGTCGGGCCACTGAGCAGCGCCCGGGCGGGCGAGTTTCACGGGGTCATGAGTCACCTTCCATGGCTCAGAGGTCCAGGCAGGGCCCGCCCTGCCTAAACAAACCCAGTTGGGAGGGAAAGAAACAAGAACACGACATTGGCAGAGAGAAAAAAAAAAACACACACAAATGGTCAAGGAGCCAGCGTGACATCCGGGCCCTGACCCAGAGAACGGTCTGAGGGGCAGAAGCAGTGTCAAGAAACAGAGGTGAAGACAGAGAAAGCGACAAGGTCCGGAGACTGTCAGCTCTAGACGTTCGAAGTGGAGAGAAAGTCCAGCTGACAAGAAGCCAGGTTGGGGACAAAAACAGGTGACAACGGAGTGACAAAGGAACGAAACCCAGAGCGGCGAGGTTCTCCCCGACGGTGTCGGCTCGCGCGCGCGTGGGCGGCTCGACCCTGAGGTCGCGGTCCTCCAAGCGCTCGTGCACCTGCCGCGGGGTGACCTTGGACAGGAAGTCGTCCGGGTGGCCCCGGAGGCCTCGGGACTCCCGGGGCTGCGAAGTGGCTCGCGTCGTCCCGCGTCGCGGCCGTCGGGGAGAGCCCGCGGTGAACACCGGCGTCCCCGACGCTCGTGACCCCGACCGTGACCTCCCGCGCGGCCGCCAGTCTTCCCACCCCGCCGTACCTGCCGACGGCTCCGCGCTCGCAGCTCCAGCCTACTGGAGCGTCCAAACCGACCGCACCAAGGCCTTAGTCTCCGCCGCCACCGCGGGGACAGTTTCCGCCGGAGCCTCCCGCCCCCCGGAAACGCTTCCCGGTCCCGCCCCCGAAACTGCCAGTGCTTCCGGAGGCGCGGCAGCGACGCTGTGGTGTGCGCATGCTCTAGGAGCCCCTTCGAGGCGGGTCTTCAGGTGAGCAAGGCGGCCGACGCCTGCGCAATAGAATCTAGCCCAGGTCTCGTTTAGGGACGCAGTGACAGGTCTAGAATAGTTAGCTAATTTCGAGTTCGAAACTCTTTGGAACTGCGAGCCATTAGCGGGTAAAGGCGCTTGCTGCCAGGCCTAATGGCCTGGGTTCTGTCTTTGGAACACACATCGTGAAAGAACTGACTCTCGCTTGTCGTCCGCTAACCTTCACAGGCACACTATGGCAAGTGAGCGCTCACCCCCCCCCCCCCCCCCCCCATTCAGGCTGGCTTTGAACTCATTCTGTAGCTCGAGTTGGCCTCAACTTCACTCTTTCCTGCACCGCCTGATTATCGGGATTGCAAGGATGTGTCCCCATAGTCCCCACAGTTGGTGTAGGGTGCATACTCTCAGTGGTCTTAGGTCCGAGCTTCCAGTTTCCCAGCGGTGCGCTCACTTCTTGGGGTCTAGAACCTGAGAGTATTCAAAGAGGAGGCTGGGACTTTACAAGACAATTATACAAGGAAATTCTGGGGCGGTCTGGAGAGATGGCTCAGTGATTAAGAGCACTGGCTGCTCTTCCTGAGGACCTGGGTTCAATTCCCATCCCCCACACGGTATCTGTTGTTCTTTTCTGGCCTCCCCTGGCAATAGGCAGGCAAACAACACACAGACCTGTATGCAGGCAAAACACTAATACAAACAAAACAATTTTGAAAAGAAATTCTGAGAAACATAACCAAAGAAAACAAATACTGAAACACAGAACTGGGAACAGGTGCAGAACATCTTGCTAGAGAAAAAAACAAAGTGGGTGGGGGTAGGAGTTGTGGGAATGACTCTGTGGGTAAAATCTTTGCAAAGCATCGCCAACATGAGGACCTGAGTTCAGTCCCCAGAAACATGTAGAAATCGCCGGTGTGGTGACAGGATTGCAATCCCAGTGTCGAGGAAGGGATCAGTGCGTTTCAGAACAGTGGCGGCCTGTGATGTCACATGTCCTTAATCCCAGCTCGTGGGAGGCAGATAAATTCCAGGGCAGCCTGGGCTACGCAGAGGAACTCTGTCTCGAAAACAAAATTGTCGGGGCATACACAGATGTGAGTCGATTCCACTTTGTCTGAAGTCAGAGAGTTTGAACTTACTTTTGCGCTATGACAGGTGTGGCTACAAACGCGAGATTCTGGTCTAGGTTGTGGTTAATTAGTATGTTGAGTGTTAAAATAGAGCTGCTCCGTCTGGACCAACGGTTGGGGAACTGTCCATTCTTTGTGTCACACTAATGAAGTCCGCTGCCCGTCCCCCTCCCGCTCCCCTTTTGGAGTGAAGTGTATAAGCGTGTGGACGAATAGCTGAGGTGGATTCAGTGTTCAATGAGTGTCCCTCCCGATGCTGTCCTATGTTTCTGTCTGTTATTTCTGCTATATCTCTGTTCCATTTGCCTAATTATTCTAATCTTCATGCTCCTACCCTGGAATGTATGAGTTTTGTGTGGAAAACTGGTTTTCCACACAAAAACAAAAAAAAAGGAGTGGATGACATTTCTGAAAATGACACCTTTGATCTCCATGACCACCCATACGTCCATATATCCACATAGACACAAACACACATACTAATACACATGCATAACAAAAAATTGGAACTGAAGAGATAGATGGATGCCTCAGGATAAGCTTGAATATGAGGCCAACTTGGGCTACATAGGTAGTTCTTGGGCAGCCTGAATGTCTCACAAAGCAAAACAAGATAAAACCCAACACATCTGACAGTAAGGCAGTCAAGAATTGGGGCAGTCACTCGGTGTCCTATGAAAGCCAGTCTGTCTCAGTCTCCTTGCTTTGCCTGCCTGCCTTAGTCCTTGTCATTTTGTACGTGTTTAATGATGCCTGAACTTCCCGGCTTGAGGTGTGCTTGGAGCTGGGAAGAAAATTCAGGTGGTGAATCACTTAGGAGTATATTCATCTGGACACTAAAAGATACTTTCCCTGAATTCTCCTGCTGTGACCTCTATGTGTTTATTTCACTTCTATTTACTTCTGTTTACTTGTGGCAAGAAGTTGATCACATGTCTATGCCTGATGCAGTACCAACAGCTAATCATGAGATGACCAAGATGGTTTGGGGCAAGTCTGAGTCATCTCTTCCAACAGAGGACAGTCTACCTTCTCACAGTTCAAGAAACCACACCTGCTACCTAAACAAAGTATTTGTTTGACCTAATATTCCCTGTGGGAATTCTCGGAGGCGCTGAACATTTATTCTTGAACCTGATTAAAAAGGTGTTTTTCCGTTTAACATTACATTATTTATTGCTTTGTATGAGTGTGTGAGCCATGGTGTGGGGGTGGAGGTCGAGGGCAACTTAATGAGAGCTGGTTCTCTCCTGCCGTGTGGGTCCCAGGGATTGAACTTAGGTCGTCAGGTTTGGTGGCTTTACCTGATGAGTCATCTCACTGGTCCCAGAGTAGATTATTAAAAATATTTAAAAGACAGACTTAAGATATAGAGAGGCAATGGGTGGTGGTGGCACATGCCTTTAATCCCAGCACTCAGGAGGTAGAGTCAGGCGGATCAGGCAGATAGATCTCTGTGATTCAAGGCCAGCCTGGTCTACTGTGAGTGAGTTCCAGGACAGGCTCCAAAGCTACAGAGAAACCCTATCTCGAAAAACATAATGAGAGAGAGAGAGAGAGAGAGAGAGAGAGAAAGAAAGAAAGAGAAGCACTTGGGAAGAAAGCAAGACACACAAAGTGTAATGGTTTAATTAAAATGCTGCAAGTCCCTGAGTGGCGGCAGTGGGCAGTGAGATCATGGCAGGCCACGAGGGCAGCAGGCCCAGGCAGGAAGTCACGTGGCGGGTGAGATACCAAGATGGATAGGCACAACATGCAGAGTGAAGTTGAATATTTATTTAGTGGGTTATGGAAGGGAAGGAGAGAAGAGGGAAGAACAGAGACAGAGACAGAGAGAGACAGAGAGACAGGGGGAAGGGGAGAAGTTGGGAGAAGGGAGAGACAGAAGCTGCCTCTTCAAGAAAGAGACTGCTTGCCTCTGTGGACAGGGGAAGGAGTGGGTGAGGCTTGTCTCTTAAATGGACAGGATAGACCATTATACCAAGAGCATGGGAGAATCTCATTTTATTGTCCTACAATAATCATATATGGAATTTTGGTGAATTTTGGAGTTGTTATCCTCAAAGATTTGACTCCCAAGATGTACCTGACAGTATTAAGTATCGAGAGCAGTGCATCAGTTGACCCCAAGCTTCTATGTTCTCCTCCGTGTACAAAGTAAATCGTTATGGCCTTGTTCAGGATGAGGTGATTTACAGTGCTTTAGAGCATCACAGGTAAGGAGAAGGCACCAAGCCCCTGTCCTCCCTAGCTGGTCTCTTGTGCCTGCTTGTCCAGGAGAGTTCAGTTCATTCTAGGGTTTAAAAGTCACAGGCAGTCTGCTGTGTTACTGAGCCCACATATCAGAAAAGGAGGGAATCTTGAGCCCCAGGATGTACATTAGAATAGGCTTTGCATCCTGTATCAATAGAAAGGGGGATCTGGAGAGGGGTCAGTACTTGACAATGGGAAGGTTGTTCCTTCCTAAAGAGCTTAGTCAATGAGGGATTCAGCAGGCAGAGAAATGCAATTAGGAATGTAACAACCTAATTGTTCTGCACCAAATCAGCACACTGGTTATCGTTGCCGTTTCTCCAGGCTGATGCTTTGTGGAAGGGTGTGAAATAAACAGCCTCACACTGGCCCTCTGACTCCTAGCACTATTTATTTATTTGTTTGTTTTTCGAGACAGGGTTTCTTTGTAGCTTTGGAACCTGTCCTGGAACTAGGTCTAGTAGACCAGGCTGGCCTCTGCCTTTGCCTCCCAAGTGCTGGATTTTTTAAAAAATATTTATTTATTTATTATGTATACAATATTCTGTCTGTGTATGCCTGCTGGCCAGAAGAGGGCACCAGACCCCATTACAGATGATTGTGAGCCACCATGTGGTTGCTGGGAATTGAACTTAGGACCTTTGGTAGAGCAGGCAATGCTCTTAACCTCTGAGCCGTCTCTCCAGCCCCCGAGTGCTGGATTTGAGGGCCTGCACCAACACTGCCCGGCCAAATCCTAGTACTCTTATTCTGAAATAGGGCTAATTGTTTCTCACATCACTCAGTCCCGGGACTCTTGAAAGTCTCAGACTCAGAAGCCTTGGGTACTCAGTGTCTGGGTTCTCTTGCTCCACAGAATGTCTAGATGTGGTTCAACTGGGTTCCAAGATCTGTGAAAAAGGCAAGTTGTCCACCCTCCATACGGTCCCACACAGTGGTGAAACAGGAATACTATAACCATAACAAGCGTACTCCTTAGGAGAGGAAGAGGAAGAGGAAGGTGTGGGAGGGCAGAGCAGTCTCTGGTTCACGGCAACTCTGAAATTCCACTGGACAGATACTGACTTCCATTGTTCCGATAAAATACCCTGACAAAAGTCAGCTTACCGTAGCTCATATTTCCAAGTTACAGCTCATCATTTTATGGAAGTCAAGGTAATAAAACAACCAGCCACAACACATCCCATCAAGAGCAGAGAGAATGGTTACACGCATGCCACCTGCTTGCTTACTTGCTTGTGCTTGGCTCCATTTCTCTATTCTTACATCGTTTGGGACCCTTTCCCTAGGGAATGGTATCACCCACAGTGGGCTGGGTTTCCTTATTTCAACTAATATGCTCATGATGATTCCTCATAGACACAAGTCAATCTGATCTAGGCAATCCCTCATTGACACTGTCTTTCTTGGTGATTCTAGACTGTGTCAAGTTGACAAACTAATTATCACAATTGGTAAAGATCTTATCATATAAACTGAGGACACGCCTACATGAGGAGGCGGTAGTGGGCATATCCT